GTTTGAAATTTTCCAAAAAATTAAAGGGGTTTTGTATTTACATGCAACAAAATTTCGAAGATGTTTAAACGCGTTTCGCGTAACTTATCTATGTAACGTGCATAAATTTGGATTTTTGAGCCCGGATCTACATATAATTTGGCACGTGATTCCCCCTACCCTTAATATTATAATAATTGTTAAAAAATTCAAGATTAATCATATTTATACATTTTCATTTTAATGTATTTTTGTAAAATATCTGCATCAATTATTTTTTATAAATAGTGAGTATATGCAAATAAGAAAAGAAATTGCATAAAAAACTGTAATTCATTCTTATATTAATTAGTATTAAATTTTCAAGAAAGATGTTACAAATAATTTGGGATGCTCAAAGTTTTTAAAAGAATCAAAAGAACAAAATTTTCTCAAGGTTCAAGTAAATAATTCTGATCATGGATTTTCTGTTTTGTAGTTAGATTTGCTTAACTTGATGATTGTTCTAATTACTTTTATTCTTGCTAATTGTTTTCCATTTTGATGATCATAAAATAATTGCTTCAGCTTCTCTTCTTTATTATTTTATTGTCATTCTGGGAATTGAAGTGATCAGTACTTTTTATTATATCCACGGTAAAAATTTAGACAGTAAATTCAATCAGGCTTGTGGTTTAATTCGTTTTCTTCCTCTTGTGGATACATTGTGTAACTGGTTAGGATCTTAGCCCCTGAAAAAATTTGCTGCGTCATGTTCACTGTGTGCCCCCATATTAATATGTAATCGTTGATATAAATTTTTTTATATTTTGAAAAAAAGTTTTGTTGCTAATAAATAACCGGTCTAATTAGCACATAAGGACATTCTTTTAGTTTCAATATTGAACTTATTTTATCATTACTGATTATTTATGGATAATTCTGATACCATACAAATACAACCTGATCATTTCTATGATGGAAAGGGAGGAGTTCCAGTCTTTAAACCTACTTTTGAACAGTTTAAGGATTTTGGAGCGTTTGTTGCTTCAGTAAGAAAATATGGCACAGAATATGGAATCATTAAAGTCATTCCACCCTCAGAATGGTAAAAAAAACTATTTGTTTTCTTTTTTTTTTTTGTTATTATTCTTGTATTAACTTTTTTTATTATTCTTATTATTCTTATTATCAGGAAATCAAAACTTCCAAACGATTTGTCAGAAAAATTGGCCAAAATCAAAATTGCACACCCAATTCAACAAGTATTTATGCGTCAAAGCAAATGTGGTGCTTATATTGTAAAAAATGTGGAAACCCATAAAACATATAGTGTCGAAGAATGGGCCAAATTATGCGAACAAGAAGAACATAGACCTCCTGAAACAAGATATTTGAATCCAAGGATTCCTCTTAATAATAATCAAAAAGTTGTACAAAAACAAAAGCCATCATCTAGTTCAGCTAATAATAATAATTCTTTGAATTTTGGTTCTTTAATAGATTCTCAACAAAAATTTGAAAATATAACTGATACTACATCAAAAAGCGAACAAAAGAGAAACGAAACAATATCGGAATCTTCAAACCATTTAACCACATCAGAAAACATACAGCTATTTACACCCAACGACTCACCAAATAATTTATCTGTTGACTATAGCATTAATAATAAATTATTGATAAATAATTATATTTCAACTTTAGATAGTGAAGATGATGATGGTGATGAATCAGAGATGGAGGTTTTATGTACTTCTGGGATCATTTTCGAGCCAAAAGTAGTTGTTGAACCAATAGCAAATATAGATAATCCACCAAAATTTAATTACCATTCCGTTAACGGAAACCTTCCATACAACGATGAACAATATATAAAAGAATTGGAACGTGACTATTGGCGCAACTTGCCCTATAGCCCTCCTTACTATGGTGCAGATATGGCAGGTAATAAAATATAAATTTCTGCATTAATGTATAATAAATAAATGGGGTGTCTATATTGTATATTTGTATATAATATATTTATATTTAGGCTCTCTATTTTCTAATGACTTCAAACATTGGAATGTGAATAAGCTTGATAATCTCTTGACTCAGATTGGGTCAATACCTGGTGTTAATGACGCATATCTTTATTTTGGAATGTGGAAAGCGTCATTTGCATGGCATGTCGAGGTAAATTTTGTTTTAAATAATGGAATTTATTTAACCTACATTATACGAATTTGTTATAAAATAAATAAATAAATTAAAAATTTTTTACTCTTACATAATAATAAATAATAAATAATAACAGGACAAGGATCTTTATTCAATCAATTATATCCATTTTGGCGCGCCTAAACAATGGTATTCCATATCACCATTAAAAGCTTCAAATTTTGAATTGAATATGAAAGGTATCTTCTCATATTTTACTAATTATACATCACCAATACATTTATTTGTCACATCATGTGTATGATATTAATATTTAAAAAACTCCTCAATATCAACCTATACATACTATATAATATTTTTTGAAAGAAGTACTTTTTTGATTATGATCTCTCTTTCCGTTTAAAAATCATTATAATGCTTATATCATGTGTTAAATTGACATTAATAATAAAATATGATGAATAATAAATAATCATTATATAAAGAATCATTAAAGACATTTTTAACTAATAAAAATTTATTGTATTCAATATAAATAATTCAGGTTGGTTTCCGCATGCAGAAAAGGAATGTTTGCAGTTTTTACGTCATAAAGAATATATGGTATCTCCAACAATAATTGGCGAAGTTCCTATAGCAATCAATCGTTTGATCCAGAGAGAAGGTGAATTTGTTATTACATTTCCACGTGGCTATCATTCAGGATACAATTTAGGTTTTAATTGTGCCGAAAGTGTTAATTTTGCCTTTGAAGATTGGATTGATTATGGTATAAAAGCAAAATCCTGTACTTGTCGCCCTGATAGTGTCCAAATTGATGTTGAGTTACTTTTTGGCCATCTGATCAACAAACCGCCAGAACAACAAACTTTGGTGATGATTGAAAGACCTATTTCTTCTATACTTGAATCTTCATCACCTTCATCATCAATGCCTTATAGAATGTCATCTTCAATCAATCCAAAAAAAATGTTAAGATTGAAAACTTCAAAGGAAATATCTTTTTCAAATCAGCATAAAAGGCCAAAAATTCAAGTTCATACAATAAAATCTTCACCAAATATAAACTCTTTGAATTCATTGTCTTCATCTACAAACAACAAATTATTGTCGCCTTCATTTGACGCTATTTCCCATAGAATGGTAACATCTCCAATAACTTTACAAACTCAGATATCTTCAAGAACCCTGATTGAAAAACACAAATACATTTTACATAAATTTGACAAGTTTGAAATACATCAAAGTAGTAACAAAACAGTAAAATCAAGAGAGATTCAGTCAAAGCATGTAAATTCAACACGAATATCTAAACAACCAATTGTTGAACATAAACGTCAACAGAGCCTTGATAAAATAAAATCTCTTGAGCAAACAAGTAATAATAATAATAATAATAATAATAAAAATCCATCTAAATTTAAAAAATCTCAGCAAGTAGTTGTTAAAAATAAAAAGCCACACAGATATGAGCCATATACCATTGAAAAAAACAATAGTTCTTCTATAACACTTGAAAATCACGATAAGGTACTCCAAACTTAACCTTTTATTTATTTTTCTTTCTGTATTTCCTTGTCTTTTATATATCAATAAAAAGATATTTGATTTAGTGTTTTTTATGCCCTGTTCGTGGAAAAGAAACAATACGCACCGTGGATGGCAGATATGCACATCGGTAAGTATCTTATAAGCGTGCGAGCGTAAGTATTTATGTATGTACGTATTTTTAATTAATAATATTAATCTATATTTTATTTTCAATAAAGACTTTGTGCGAGCTTTATCCCAGAAACCTTTGCTGTTACTCAAGAAGAGTTCGGTGAAGAATTTATAGTGGTTGATATGACATATATACCACTTGAAAGAAAAAGTTTGGTAAATTAATTGATGATATTTTATTTCTGTATTCATAAATGATCACACAATCATCATAATTTTAACAACAATATATATACATAAAATAGATATGTCATATATGTAAAACTTCTGATGGTGTATGCATCCAATGTCGACAATGCACTACAGCTTTTCATGTTTTTTGTGCATATGAAGCTGGGGTATTACTTTTACAAAGATCTCTCGGGCGTAGCCAAATGCTTTATGAATGTTACTGTAAATCGCATCAGCCAGTTAGGTTTTTTTTTCGCAATATGTTTTATCAGATATTTTTCGAATAATTTAAATTTATTGTTATTGTTCTTATTGCAATTAGGATATTGAAAAGTTAACTGAAATTTGTTTAAGTGAACAAGTGTAACTGGAATAAAAATTTTTTTAGGGGGCCAACAATATATTTAAGTTTTATGGGGGTTAATTTAATTGCTAAAGCTACTTATATCATTCTTTTTAGTGTAAAGATTGAATGGATGTGTGTGTGCGTGTGTGTGCGTGTGTGTGTGTGTGTGTGTGGAGTGAAAGTATTATAAATGAGAAAAAAATATTGCATTAATAATAACAGAAATTAAAAAAAATTAATAGAAAAAAATTTTAAAAAGAAGCTCTTTTGATTCAATTTAATTTACATTCCATGAAGCCATGTTCATAATTTCCAACAATTAAAAGTTTGCTACGTCCAACATCAATTGCTACACCAGTGCTTGAGCCAAACGTTGAACCGTCATCCTCAAATATAATTTTTGTTGTATATACATTTTTTACAAAGAATTTTTTTTGTTCAGGAAAATGATTATTATTTTGAGTTAAGGTTGGAGGTTGTTTAAATGTGCTTTTTGTGACCAATGATGGTGAAATTTTAATGATGTTCTTCTTATTGCCATTACTATCATTAGAAACAATCGAATTTGCATAAGCTAGATAATTATAATACTTTGGATGACCAACAGTATATAAATCTTTTGTTATAGGATCAAAATCAATTCCTGTCGCAACAAAACCAAGCTTAATTGAATTCATGGTTAAATATAAAGGCCAAAATATGTCAATTTCTTTATTACCATGATGATAATCAACAGTATTAAAGTTAATGTTTAATGTTTCTCTATTAAAAAAGAAGGCATTAAATTCCTGAATTTCACCAGACCACGCATTAGTTATAAAAATTTGATTTGAATCATCAGTGGCTACAATTCCAGTAGGATGTTGAAGCCTCCATCCTGTTTCTACGGATCGATTTACAAAAGCATTATAGAAAGAAAATGTTCCAAGTGGCAATGTAATATAATCTTCAATTTTTTGTAAATCACTATTAATAAAATAATGATCATTCGTGACAAAAAAAGATGGTATACCGTCAGGGCTTGGCATATTACTAACAGCGATAATACGATTTGGATTATATATATATCGAGAAATGATTGTTTTACGATGATATAAAAATTTCTCTTCCCTACTATAATCAAATATTTCAACTGATCTTCTAGCATCATCATAATTGATAACAGCGATTTTTAGAGTTGCTGTTTTTGAATTCTTACTATCATTCAAAGTTGCAACAGATATGCCAATTGGATGAAATGATCTTTTAAAATCTGAATCGAGTCTAATTGGTGGCTGAATTGAGGAGAAAAAATAACTTTAAAGTTTTAAAAAAATTGTTGTTTTTATATTTAATATATATATATATATATATATATATAAATCATACGTCATCAACATTCAAATCGAATATCCAAATAGATCCATTCTCATTTACAAGATTTGGATCACCCAAACCAAGCAAAGGATTGAATTCTGCACGTGAATTGTCACATGTCATAAAAGCAAGACCTGATGGTCTATGTATTTTAACATCCTCACAATATGAAGGTCCTTTGTAGTAAGCAGGTACGTAGAATCATCAAAAGATTATTCAAGAAAAAAAAGAATGTGCGTAAAAATAAATTCATGAATCAAACAAACCTAATACTTTTCGACATTTATCCAAGCCATTTTTTCCGATTTTGCGTTTTACTCCCATCAATTCATCTGTTTGTTGTTCTATAATAAACGTAGAGGGATATTTATTATAATCGTATCTTTTTATCTTTTTTTTTTTTTTTTTTTGATTAAACTTACTTAATAAATAAACACCTATAGAAATTAAGGCCACAATAACTGTTGTGGTATATAATTTCAATGACATTATTTTAAAAGATTTAATTAATTTATCAGAAAAATCAGATCGATCGGTCTATTTATCTGAGTTTATCGCCACAATACAACTAAATTTGATGCAAAAAAACACATTAATGTGTTATGTATGGAGTGATGATTAAAAAAAAATTTTATTTGTTACAAGGAGAAAAGAAAATATAAATAGGAAATAAATTATACTTTAGTCATTATATAATAACACCCGAACAAAATTTATCAGTTTATTCATTTTTTTTGTGCTTTGATAGTACATTTTAAAATATTCACAATTTAATAATAATAATCCATCCACATTTTCTTCTTCCTCTCCTCTTTTCCTCCTTTCCTCCTATCCTATCCTTTTTTTTCCTATTTATTTTATTTTATATTATATTTGCCGTACATTTTCAGGAAAATGGCTGAATCCTTAATAGAAAGAGAATTTGCGCCAAAACGTCTATTTTTTTGGATTTTTTGGTTTGGTAGTCATATAGGTCTTTTCTTTTATGGTTTTTACAAACAAAAGGATGACCCAGAACTTGCTCATCTCAACAAAATTGGCTTTTCAGTTTGGACCTCTCGTGGTGCTGGTTTATGTTTAGCTTATGATGGTGCTTTGATACTTTTACCTGTCTGTAGAAACATCATAAAATA